ATTAGAAAGTCATTGGATAATGTTCTTATTGAAAAAAAAAAAACCTAAGTGAGTTTAAACCCATAACTAAATATTTCATTTTCAAACTCACTATAGTATTCAATCTGTTTGTTCTTATGACTCTCATTAATCTAAAATTAAGAGGAATCTATAGCAATGAGTTTGTGTAACAAATAGTTTTCCCAATAGCAAATTGTTTAAAATAAATATTTGTGAATATTGCTGTTTTTCATATTTAAGAATACCACTGTAAATAATTATCTTCTTTGCCTGCCACAAGTCTTAAGTTTCTCCTGTGCTACGATCTTCTATCTAAAATTCATCTGTAATACCCTACCTAGAAAGACTTTATGTTATACAAGATTTGTTCTTCACACATAGACCATCTAGCATTTTTATTCTATCCTTTTGGTGGAATACTTTGGAAAACTTGATACCATTTTTCCTACTTTTTGGCTTTCGCAATTTATATATTTTTTGAAGTATCATTATTAAGCTCTTTAATATTTTTAACAAAGTCATACCAAAATATATGACAGATGGACAGTAGAACTTTAGTAGATATACTGAGCATAAGAAAGGTAACCACAGCCTTCCTGAACAAACATGTTTTCATGATCATATGTGGCATATGCCTGTGAATTGTTTCTTAGTAACAATTTTGGAGAAGTATACTTTTACTTGTTTATAATATACTCCTCCCAAAGCTTAACAGAAGAGCTTTTGTTAGCACATAGGATAGTTTTCCTGTTACTTGATTGTGCCTTATAGATAATCAGTTTTGTTATTTACAGCAGGGCTTAGTAAATTTCTTTGGGCATAATACTCTGTATTGGTGCAAATAATTGTACATTTTTTGTTTCTATGGACAATGTGAATTGTTGTATTAGAATACATCAGAGAAATATTTCTTCTACAGTTCTGCGATTCCTTTGTGCCATAGTGATGTCAGATGCAAGGGAACCTCCATTTCAGTAGGAATACAAGTAAAACTAAGGTGGACAAAGACTGTACTTTTTAGACAAAAGTTTTCACTAAAAACAAAAGGGGCCAAAGAGAAGAGGAGGGCAGTATTGACTGGGAGATCTGGTTGCCCCAAATCTGAGGAAGGGATAGCCCACTTTATGGGTTCCAGGAGTGGTTTGGGGGTCCTTTTTTTTTTTTTGGCAGTACTGGGTCTTGAACTCAGGGCCTTCACTTTGAGCCACTCCACCAGCCCTTTTTTTGTGAAGGGTTTTTCGAGATAGGGTCTCGTGAAATATTTGCCTGGGCCGGCTTTGAAACCTAGTCCTCCTGATCTCTGCCTCTTGAGTAGCTAGGGTTACAGCTGTGAGCCACTGGCACCCAGCAAGAATGGAATTGTTTCCTCTTATTTTAAGAAATTTCTTTCTCATGTAAGATATGAGTCACCAGCCAGTTCATCTTTGGGAATCTCACGTTGCCACCTTGCACCTGGTGGGTTTTATCCTTGAGATAAGAGTAGAAGAAGGGGGAGACTGAAATTGGCACTTTCTATATATTAGTGACAAGATAGGGGCTTTATTTTTAGTGTTAACAGCTTATGAATTAAGGCCCAAGAATGTACTTGTCTCTTTCCTTCTGAGGTTCCCTGCTATATTTAGAAGCAAGCTGTCAGTATACTATTTTCTGTGGGTGAATTTACTTTCTTCATCTCTGTCATTACGAAAGTAAAGAGACGTGGAGGAAAATTCACAACCTTTTATCTGTTTCATTAAGATATGCCTACTTGTGAACTTTATTCTGTTTCTCTTAACCCAGAGTCTTTGGGTTCCTAGATGTGTGGATTCTTGTTTGTCATCAGTTATGAAAAAACTTTCAGCCATTATCCCTTTTATGTCTTCCCTTTCCCTCCCTTTCTGTTCTCTTGTTTTATAGTGCTAATTAAATATGTCAGGCTTCTCCCAACTTGTCTCTTAACTTTTCTTTTAAATCTTTCATTTTAAAAATTACTATATTCCAGAAATATATATAGTTTTACATTTTAATTTAAAAGTAAGAAAATAAAACAAAAGTTATTATGATAGATTCTTGGAATTTTCTCAAATCTTTATTTTAATTTACTCTGCCTTTTTCCCCACTCCAGTAATGAGGATCAAACTCAGGGCCTTCTGCATGCTAAGCAAAAGCTGTACCACTTTGCTCCATCCCTAGAACCTACTAATTTTTTCTTAATACTTACTAAAATGCTGTTTATCCCACCTATTGTTCACTTTAATAACTACATTTTTCATTTCTGGAAATCTTATTTGGTTGTTCCTAATAGAGCTTTATTTCTTCTCATTTTTTATTCTATCCTATATGTCTTTAATAATTTTAAACAAGTTTATTTTATCATCCATATGTAATAATTCCATTATCCAAAGTTCTTGGTAATGCATTTGAAAATGGAATCTAATTCTCCTCACACAAATAAAGAGACTCATATATAAAATGATCTACAATTAAGCACTTAACTTCAGTGATCTTTGTTCTTGCAAGTACTTTTGGTCAATGTTTTTCTAGGAGAGATTTTACTTTTGTTTCTCAGAGTTGCTGCAGGACTATCGAAGGTCTAATACCATTTTTTATATACATAACTCAGGATAGGTACTCCTGGACCACAAAGGTAGTATAAATTAGAGCCACTCCATACACATGGGAAATTTCCCATCATTTTTAGTTTTCCATAGAGGTCTCTTTTTTTCAACAAGCTCTCCTGCTAGAGACAAAGGCAAATTTCCATGTTCTTCCCTCTTTCAGCTGGTCTGATGTTTTCTTGGCCCTTCAAGAACCCTAGATCTAGGTAGGCAGCTCATCTCCATCTATTTTCTTGATTTACTGAGTGCTGAGACTCAAGACCATTAATAACTATTAGTACTGGGGCTTAGTTCCTTTTTTGGCAGAATTTAAGTTTTGATTGTGGTTATTTTTTCAGTGTTTCTTTTTTGTTGAAGTTTTGAACTCAGGGCCTTGTGCTTGCTAGGCAGATGCTCTACTGCTTGAATCAGGCTTCCAGCCCTTTTTTGCTTTAGTCATTTTTCATATAGGGGCTTAAGTTTTTACCTGGGGCTATCCTAGGACCTCAAACCTCCTACCTATGCCTTCTAGTAGCTGAGATTACAGACACACCATGCCCTGCTTATTGGTTGAGATGGTTAGCTTTGGTCACTTTGCCTAGGTTGGCCTTGTACCATGTTCCTTCTGAGAGCTGCCTTCTGAGTAGCTTGGACTACTGGCGTACACCACAACGCTTGGCCATGTTTTTTTCTTTCTTTTGATTCAGCCTTGAAAATACTTGGCATCCAAAAGTTTTTAATGGTTTTATTTTAAGTTTACCATTGCCTCAAATATTTGCCAGAGATATCTCAAAAGAAAAGTCAGTACTGTAGAATTATTAACTTGATTTAAATTTTCTTTTTACTTCTGTGGTTATAGCTCTTTCATATTTTATGTCATTGTTTTAATTCATCACACAAATGAGGAAATACATGTGATATTGACAAGTACTTTTTTCCCCCATTAGTGCTTCAGTTAATGTTTGTTTTTATTTGGTTCTCTGCCATCTTTTCCATTTTAAGGTATTTTTAATATATCATATATTTTAGCATTCCCTTATGAGAGCACATCAGATGTTACATGTTTCTCACATTGGTCATTTTATGGAATTTGAGTTATTAAGCTATAATTATGGTGTCTCTCAGGATCTAAACCCTTCCTCTTATAGTCACAGATTTTAATACTTCTTCCTGTTACTCTCCCCTTACCAGATCTCTTAATTCTTTAAAATTGATTTTCTTGAAATACAATACTTTCAAGTCACAAAACCAGATGATCCAATTTGTTTTTTGGCAGACACCAAATAAAGCTCTCCCATTGCAAATTTAACAAAAGACATTAGTGTTCTCTAGACTACTCTTATTTTAAAAAAACAAAGGATGTAGAAAGACTTGCATTCTACCTAAGTTTTCTCATGAGGCAACTTGTGCCAATTCTCTGATTTCAGAGAATAATAAGGATATATTCAGATAGAATATTAAATTAATATTTTGAAGGAAATTTGGAATTAGGGTTTCTAGTAAAACATAAACACAGGGATGCATTGTTTCATTGAAAACTAGTACTGTGGACTTGAGCATCTGTACCAACACAAGCTTCATTTTGTCCTTAGTGTTTTCCAGTTTCAGAGTCTACTAATGTACATTGTGCCTCCTTTGAAATTATTAGCAGTTTTGAATGCCAAGAAGAAATACTGTGCTAAATAACTGATCAAAGGTGTGAATGTGTAAAAAAGAATTAAAATAGAGATCAGATGCTGTTCTGGTGTCTGCTTGCCCTCCAGGTTCAATTCTGAAACTTTCGTTCCTTTGGGTGGCCTTACTCAGACTATGAACTTCATTTCCTCATTGGTAATATAGGACCAATAATGGTCTTGATTCATATGCAGGGTTGATTTCAGGAAGCATTCAATTTCAGACACAAAGGCCATATAACAGACTGTAAAGGTTATACTCATCCATGAACTCAGATGGTTCTTACAGCTTAAAAAAAAAACAAAACAAAACAGATTGGAGATTAAGAGGATGTGCTCATGAACCTAGTGAGATGGGAAAGATGGCAGTTACTAGATGGAAAGTCAGAATTTTAAAAATAGGAAATGAAAAATTATTCTAAAAGTAGTATGAGTATTGTGTTAACAAAGGAGTTACTAAACTATTTACAAGAACAAAAGAATTAAAAACAGAAAAAATAATTGCTTGAAAAGTCCTGGGATAATATTAATATGGAATTGCTTAATTATATCTGAATTTCTCAGTGAATTTTTTACTATCTTTTATAAATCTTATGGAACTGAAGTTGTGACTATAAAATATACAGATAGGCACTCTCAAAATAATGATGAAATTTTGTCTTAAATGTAGTACAGATACTGATAAAAACTTAATGAAGATTGTCCTTGAAAAAAAATGAACTGACTAATAATATTTTACTTTGTCTTTTAGCATACGGCGGCATCAAGAAAGGAGAGCAATTTTGACCCCCATTTTGACAGATTTTTCTGTCCGAATAACTGGAGCACCTGCCATCATTTTCACCAAAATAATCTCTCCAGAAAATTTGCATACTGAGGTTAGAACATAATGTAGATTTCATTTTAGTCCGAATAATGGAGTAATAATAACTCCACATATGTTAGGGATTTTCACAGTTTCACCCTACATGACATCGATTTAACAGTTACCATTGTAACTAGTAATTACTGATTACTTGCTAATACTATTCAGTTATTGCTTTCCACGTAATAACTCATTTAATCCTCATAATAATTCTATCAGTTTCTCCTACTATCTGAATTTTATAGAGTTGAGAAAACTGAAGCATACAAGAGTAGTCAGCTTTCCAAATTTTCACAAGTAGGAAGATGTAGAGCAGGGTGTAAACTCAACTGGTCTGGCTCTACACTCCACACTCTTAACTTCTCCAGACAGCCTCTTTCTAATGAAAATAACAATAATGCTGACAGCTCTCATATATACTACCTTACATAGGAGTTCTGCATGGATTACCTTATTTAGTCTACACAGTATCCTTATGAGATAGGTACTGTTAGCAAGCATACATATATTGTAGATGAGGAAACTGAGGTGTAAACTGGTAGGTCTAGGTTTCAGCTGTGATCAATATGGTGCACTGCCCCCATGCCTAAAAGACAAGTGTAATAGTAGTGTGATTCACCATAACTTAAAAAGAAAAATTCTTCAGAGAAATTTATATGACAAACACATTATGAACTTTTTTGCTTTTTTATAAAATTATGGACAGTTATTATAAAAAGTTCAGAAAAATTAGGTATAGATTAAATCCCTGATTTTGGATGGTTCAATTTACAGGTTTTCAACTTTACAATGTGAGAAAGTGATGTACTCAGTAGAAATCATAGTTTGACTTTTTAATTTTGATCTTTTCCTGGCTAGTGATATGGTGAATAATACTGTCTCATGATACTGGACAGTGACAGAGAGTCACAGCTCCCAGTCAGCCAGGTGTAATAAAGGGAAACAGCTGACACTGTGTTGCAAAGCTAGGATGTTCTGTAGGATAGGTGTTTTCAATGTGTGGTTTTGTTGTTATTGTTGAGATAGGGTCTCAGTATGTAGCCCAGACTGACCTTGAACTCATGATCCTCTTTCCTCCATCTCCCAAGTATTTGTATTATGGGCACCACCATTCCAGTCTTAAATACATTTTGACCCCCAGTATTTTCAACTCACCATGGGTTTCTTAGACTGTAACACCCACCCCCATCCCCCTCTTTTTATTGGCCATACTTGGGGTTTGAACTCAGCATCATGCTTGCTAGACAAGTGCTCTACCACTTGAGCCACAACACTCCCTCCATCCCCTCCTTTTTTTTTTTTTTTTTTTTTTTTGCTTTAGTTTTTTTTCAGATAAGGTCTCCTGTTTTTGCTCAGGGCAGGCCTAGGACCATGATAACTTTTGCCTCCCATTTGGCATGAGCCACTGTACCCAGCCCATTGTTAAATAGATGCATTTCTGAATATTAATCTAAGACAAACGTTATATTTCTCTTCTAATTTTTCTATATATTATATCATTTGATATTTATAATAAACTATCAGGAAAATTAAGTTAGGTAATGATTCCTTCCATCTGTTTTCATTTGATTTTGGGGTTTTTATTTTCTGTTTATTTTGAGACAGAGTCTTCCTTATAGTCCAGGCTGTCCTCAAATTTGTGATCCTCCTGCCTCAGCTTCCTAAATACCAGGATTGCAAGTGTGTACTACCACATCCACTAGCCAGGTTTCATTATATCCATAAAAGGTGTATGAAGATTAAGGAAGACTTACAGTTACTTAGTATCACAGTTAGTTTAAACTACAGGAAACTCCTTATGGGGTGTTTTTCTTTCTTCCATACTAATACTGCTACAAAATATGAATTAAGATTCACACATTAACCAGGCACCAGTGTCTCACACCTGTAATTCTACATTGTTAGGAGGTGGAGATCAGGAGAATCATGGTTCAAGGCCAGCCCAGGTGAATAATTTGTGAAACCCCCATCTCCAAAATAACAAACCAAAATGGACTGGAGGTGTAGCTCATCATAGAGCCCCTGCCTTGCAAGCATTAAGTCCTGAGTTCAAACCCAAGTCGCACCAAAAAAAACCAAACAAAGATTCACACATTAGAATCATGTTTTAGAATTGCTTCAATTTCCTGCTTATATTTGGCTCACAGAAATGAAATATTGAGGCTGCTGGTATAGCTCAGTAGGCGAGTACTTGTTTGGCATGCATGGAGTCACATGCCAAACAAGTATTCTCAGCACCACAGAAAAGAACAAAGTCATAATCACTTTGAATTAAGACTTTTTCCCTGAAAATACCCTTGGATTCTTAAGTAATTTTATCATGAGGTTCAGAAACAAAAATAAGGATAATATATCAAAGTATTAATAAAATATCATCCCAGCATAATGGATGCCTCTTCTCATTTTGAAGGCATTATTACAAAGTTTCCCGTTCCCAAGTGAAAGGGGCGTAAAGCAGGAGATCTGAAAACAGTTCTAGGCCATCCTCAGCTTTATGTTAAAGCTGTCAGCTTCAGCTGCTCGCTTAAATTCTTTGTTATACATACCTTAGTTGCCTCATACATTTACCTCAATTGACCTCTAGGTTGTTGTAAGGATCAAACTTACCAAAAGAGATAATAGTAATTATAAGAGAAATAAAAATGGAAATTATTACATTTATGCTATTAACTACTTATTCTACCAGTAGTATTCATGCCATTAACCTTCTAGTATGGGATCAGTAATTTGCTAGTATTTCACTAATAGAGCTGAGATAGTTTCAGTACAATGTTTTATCTGCTTAGAAAATGTTACAATGACAATTTTTAAAAAATATTTTGAATCAGTGACCTTATTTTCTTTTTCATGATTACTTGAAGAATAAAATAACAATTCTTAGTGTAGTAAGTGAATATGGGAAGCTTGTAGTTGACAGTTTATTTAACCAAAAAAAAAAGGTTATTCACGTCAGACAGAGATGTTGTTCTTTATGGCTTTATTAAAAGTTGCCCTAAGCTGTCTAGTCCATATTTGAACCAGCCATAGTCTCCTTAAATCCATTCCTTTGTACACTAGTAAGTGGAAGGTCTTTTGGATGTTTCCAAGTATTCAAACATTGTCCACATGTGCTTCATGACAAAAGGCAGGACTTAAGCTTATTAAGTGAAGCCTCTGGATTTCTCTTCTTTTGGTTTCTAAGTGGTTTTCCAATGATAAATGTTCAAATGACTAAATTATTCCAAACAACACCAGTTAAGTAGTGGACATCTGCCTAATGTTGCCAAGATTTTAGCAGTTTGAAGAAGTAAAATTAATTAGTCTTGCTAACTTTGGCTATAGCACTGTACTTTGTTATAAATCATTTGATTGTATCCCTTTGGAGACTACTCAGAGAGTGGCATTTGCAATTGTAATTGCCTGTTTACATCTGTCTGCCCCACTAGATCATGTTATCTCCTCTAGAGTAGGTTGCCTTTCAAGACCAACCTTAATCTGGTGGTGTTCCTAGTGAGGGGCTAGATACTCTACTATACTTAGGAGATGCTCAGAAAATATTCATTGATTTGAATTGATGAATAAGATTCCGCCATCATGCTACACCATTGCTTACATATCAAAACAATGATACTAGTTTGAAGTATGAAAAGGCCAAATGGATATGAAAAGGTAAAAGCATCTTATTGTTGTCTTGTTATTCTAAGTCTGTGATAAGGCCTAACAAGCCCTTACAAATATTTATTAAACTATGCAAGTGATTATGTTCACCATTTTTGCTTTTCTCATGAATAGTGAATGCTGGCTCCGCAAAACAAGTTTGTTAGTATGAATTTGAGTCCTGGGTGACTTAGGATGTAGTAACAGTCAAATTAGTAAGAGTGACAAATTATCACCTGAAGGCTATCATATTTCTAATCTGTATTTCATCTTTTTTTCTCTTCAGGAGATTTTAGTGTGTGGCCACTCCTTGGAAGTGAATATAACCACAAACCTGGACTTCTTCCTAAGTGTGGCTCAAGTTCAACTCTTACATCAGTTAATAGTAGCAAATATGACTGGACTGGAACCATCAAACAAAGACACAGAGGTAACTATTACCTGATTTTTATTGGACTTACTACATTTGTGCCAATGTTACAATAGGAAAACTAATTAAACTAAATGCTTTCTGCTAATTGTTTTTAATGCTATTCCAAATATGGTCATAAATCATTTTGGATTGATGTTCTTTATTTTTAAAATTTGTTTTGTCTCTTTTCCTTTTATTTATCATGCAACTTCACAAAATTGTTGTGGAGTGACCTCAGAAAAGTCTGTTAAGAACATGATTTTATTACCCTACTGAAATTTCTGAAGTGTGATGCAAGAAACCTGGTACAGCTTTTATTTTCTCAGATACATTACAGGCATAGGGCCTGTTTTGGAAGTGAACTTTGTAGGAATACTATGGGAATATATTTAATAAATAATTTGTAAAGCATTTGTTTCTCATGTCTGTGAAGAACTGACACAATCATAAAACTTGAATGCCTGCCTAGAATCTTAATTTTGATCCAGTATTTGTTGGAAGTCTGTTTCATAACCACAGAGCATGTCAGCAGAAAGCAAGCAAAGAATGCTGCTCATTAGATTCTTCTTGGGGTATGTCTTCTTTGCTTTTTGTTTCCATACTTCTTTCATATCTGTAACTGAGAATAAATCTTTATAGAATCCACTTGAAAAAAACTGATATCCTTGAAAAAGTTGTTGCTGTATTCTTGCCATGAGTTATGAAGAAAGCCTGAAATTCTTTTTATTAAGAATATAGGGAAGGAAGAGTATTTGGAGTCTCATGAACCATTTACCTGGGCTGGCTTTGAACCACAATCCTCCTGATCTCTGTCTCCAGAGTAGCTAGGATTACAGGCATGAGCCACTTGCACCAGGTTACCTTATCCCATTTTAAAGATGACAGTTTGGGGCCTTAAAGAGGAAGTGACCTGAGAGTTAAATTCAGGTTTCCAAATCAGTTCTCTTTCCATTCTGCCACAGATCATGTACTATAACTATTATATTTTTCTCTCAGTCTTCTTTATTTTTAAAAGTTATTTATAATAAGGCTTTTAATTTTTGTAAATGAAAATTCTTTTTACCCAATCACCTTTTACCACCCACGATTTCTGCTTATTCTGTATCTATTTTAAAAGGATTATATATCTCCAAAATATTACTCTTCCAGTATACTTTAGAAAATTCATAAAAATATGATTATACAACAAGAAAATAATTATATTAAAAAGTATTCCTCCATGCATTCTCAGTGAAGTCCATTAAGCAAGTGGGGTTGGAAAAGAGTATTTTATATTCCCATATTACTTGCACCTATGTTATGAATACCTCACATCAAAGAAATCTAACTCACAAATTACTGACTTGTTTTAGGAATTCATTCAACTTAGCTAATGGGTTATTAACTATTTTCCTGTATAATTCTACTGCCTGTTGATAGGTTCAGATAGGTGAATAAAGGGACACTCAGAATTAAAATAACCAGCTTTCCCTGGACACTGTCATTCCTCACAATTCCACAAAGGAAATAGGCATTGTTTTTTGCTACTTTTAAAAGTATTTCTGTGACTCTGTTTCTTCTTAGAGATCATATTAAAAGTATAGATTCCATGTGCATTTTAAATGGTATGTTTTATGTTTCGTATAACAAGTAAACACAGAAGTATAGACTATGAGAGAGGGTAATTTGACACTGTCCCAAGCTTTAGAGGAATATATGTATGAACATTTCAGTATTTTAGAAAAGATTTTCAGTTAACTGGAAAAATAAGATATATCATAAGGTATTAGCAGAGCTCACATCTGATAGTCAAGGATATAAAGACATTTTGGTTATGTAGAATGCTGTTTGTAATAAGTTAGAATATATTTTGAAAGGACTAATTATCTTTAAAACAACCATACTACTTTTTTAATTTTTAAAAAAGTTGAACTTGGCCAAGTTACTGAAGAAATAGAAGAAGGGATATGTGTTTGTTTAAAAATATGTATCTTAACTACTATTTGTTAAGAATGTTGAATTCCAGGACTCTAAAGGGACCTTGTTAATTGAATTATAGACCAATAAATGTCCTATTTGTTCTAAGCCTACCATCCAACAGTATATTGATGCAATAGTTGTATCTACAGTAGGATATCTTGTGTTTTGGAGGTTGTTACTATTTTCAGATGAGCTTTTGGTGATTCAGATGAACTTTTAAAAGATTAATTTTTAAAAATGAATTTTAATTATCACATTCAGGAATGTGACAGAGATATTCATGTAGGTAGAGGAAACATTTATACTGTAAACAAAGGGAAGAAAATGGACTTATTTTTGTAAGTAGAAGTAGAAATAGAAGGAAAACCCAAGTATTATTGCTAGGAGCAATATTTAATATTAATTTTAATATTAAATCTGTCATAATGAGCATCTGACATATAATGAAACTTTTAAATTCACAGCTAAAAAGAACCACTTCTAAGTAATAAAATAACCAGGTGATAAATTTAGGCAAATTGCCTCCCATATTGTCAACAGTTTTCCTGTGTTTTTGTTTTGAAAAAAGTGCTTTAGATGGAGTGAGGCCTCTGAATCAAGAGGCTAGTATGATTTTCACTGTCCCCTTCCAACATTGTTACTTCCATGATTTCTGGCTCCCAGAATATGCAGTTTCCTCCTTTTAAATTAATCTCTTCTTATTTCTATATATATAATACAACAGTCTGGGAAAGATTATATAAGGGAAATAAACATGTAATATTCAAACACCAAAATGATTTACATCCCATAAAGTGCACGTCATTCCTTATCTGGCTTACTGCCACAGTTCACCATCCCATTCTGTAGTCATGTCTCCCTGACCATGTGGGGCTCTATAGGACTAGTATAGTATGTATTTTATTTAGGATTCTTAGATCCCGATTATTCCCATTTACATAAGGTGGGAGTCAGTCTCCTGGATACCTTAACAATGAAAGCCAAATATACAATTCTAAGTTTTCTCCACAAATAGAGCTGTAATATTCAGCCTTGATTAAATTGTCAAGCATTATACAAAACCACTCATGGGAGTGAGGTATGGGGGAGGCACCAGTGGCTAATGAAGGAAAAACAAAAAATATAAAGACAAGAATACAATTACACTTTCCCAGTGGAAAGTAGGATTTGGTGACTGACACAGTTGGTTCTTTTAGAAGATTATTTATGTTTTTACAAAATGATTTTTGTCCATAGAGGTCCAATTATACAAACATGGCTATTAAGCATAACTTGCGATATGAATTAGTAAGGAAGATCATGTAATAGCATCTGCTAGTAAATTTCAAGAAACCATTGCAAGAGAATGTGAATAAAGTAAAAACTTGAATTCATGAAAGCATTTTTAGGGAGAAACATTTCAGGTTATTTTTATATGATAAGAAAAGGAAGCAAATAGAAAATCCTACCTTAATATTATTATATTCTAGTTACAGTCACAAAAAAGCATACCATATGATAATTTCTACATAATTTTGATATATTAGATTTAGACTGAAAATATGAAAGATAAGCAACCTATTTATAATCTGTAAAATTGTGAAGAATGTAGATGATACTAAAACTGATCTAACTTGAAGTGGTTAATTTATTTTTTATATATGGTCTCTTTTTTGTTTGTTTTTTTGCAGAACTGAGAATTGAACTCAGGATCTCACCCTTGCTAGGCGGGTGCTCTACCACTTGAGCCATGCCCCTTTTGTTTTTGTTATTTTCGAGGTAGGGTCTCATATTTATGCCCATGCCCAGGTGGTCTGGAATGCGATCCTCCTATTTATGCTTCACATATTGCTGGGATGACAGGCATACACCACAAGGCTGAGTATTTATTGGTTGAGATGGGGGGTCTCATAAACTTTCTGCCTTGGCTGACCTTGAGCTGTGATCTTCCCAATCTCTACTTCCTACATAGCAAGGATTATAGGCATGATTCACTGGGCCTAGCTATCCTGTTATTTTTGTTGAATGCAATACATGAATTTTCATAATTAAGTATTGATTAATGAAATAAAATAGATTCTTCTCTGCTGATGCTCATTGGATACTGCCCCATATTTAGCCACTTTTACCTCTGTAAGCTGTTTCTTCTGGTATTTATGTACATGTTCCTAAATGATGTGCATAGATGACCACCTCTTAATTCACTATAACTATGTCTACTTGCTATTTATTGTACTTAAAGGTGCCGTCTCTTTTTACTTTCCTTTCATGCCTCCATTTTCCCAATAATCTTACATTGTTTTTTCTTCATCAATGTGAATTCTTTTATAATACAGACTGTAAATGCTATTCATTGCTTAGTGAGGTGATAATAGTATAATTGTATTCTTGTCTTTATTTTCTTTGTTTCTCCTTTATTAGCCATTGTTTTGCCTCCCCCATATTCCACTCTCACTAGTGGATCTGTATAATGCTTGACAATTTAATTTTTTGTACTTTGAAACTTGTAACATTGCCTCTACCCATTGCCTCAAGCCATTTTTTCTAAAGTTCTTGTTCTGCCTTCTCCTTTTTGGAATATTCCTAGATCTGGTACACCTTTGGCACAAATGATTCAGATGAGATTAGATTGTGGTTTTTGAAGTTGCTGTAAAGAATTTTTAAGAAAATCAAGGGTATCAAGAAAGCAATGAGTTCAATGAATATAAATTAGTAAATTTGCCAGTAGTTTTATTCTATCACTAAAATATTAAATATTTTAGTTTACTGTATAAAAACAGTGCAGTAGCATTGAAAAATATTGAAATAGAGTTTGTTTACCTGGCTAATACAGTTTAGTTGAATGTTTTTAAAGTTTGTTTCAAAATAGGCTAAGGCATTAGAGATTTTTGCCATGAACTATAGTTTTAAGTATATTCATAGAAAGTGGAGGTAGAGATTGTTTTGGTTGTATTCTTACTATTTTAATTTGGAAATAATCTGCAACTTGTTCTTCACTTTAAGGATGGACATTTTTTTAGTAAAGGTTAATTTCTTGTAGCTATATTAGATCAACCTAAGGACTAAGGAAAATAGAAACCCTGAGAACATAAGTTGATGGAGGTGAGTTTGAAATGGGGAACTGAGACTGGTATGGGAG